TTTTTTTTTTTTTTTGAGATAGGGTCTTGCTGCATAGTTCAGGCTGGCCTTGAGTTCACTTATAGCCCAGGCTGGCCTCAGACTCACAGTGATCCTCCTGCCTCAGCCTCCCAAGTGCTGGGATTACAGGTGCGCACCACCACACCCCGCTGAGCTCTGGACACATCTCTGGACCAGCCACATTGGAAGGGCTCAGTGTGGGTTGGTGTCTCCTGTATCAGAGCCCGAGTCTGGATCCTTTTGTCTTCCAGCAGCTGTGAGGAAAGAACACTTGCCCGTTTCCTGAGCACATTGTGTGCCAGCAGGGTGCTGCTCTGTTGGTGGATTGGTCGTGGCAGTGACCTGGGGCTAGGATATTGTTCGATTTTACAGCCCAGGAAACTGAGGCTCTTACAGAACCCACGACTGTGAATGGATATGTAATTTATGGGCCATCTGTAAATGGCTCGGAGCTGCCGCCCTCTGCCAGGCTGGGCCCTGGAGGAGACCCAGCCCCTAATCACCGCTAGGTCTGGTGGCCCGGGGAGCCAGGGCTGGGCGTGCAGGCGGTCTTCAGTTCTCTGGTTCTCACCTCAGCTGGATCTCCTGTTCTTTCCCTTCCTCCCTTCCTCTCAGCAGTGTGAGCTCCCATGCCCAGCGGCTAAACCTCAGCTTCATTTTGTCTCTATTAGGACTGTCTTCTGTGGAGACCGTGTGTGTTAACTTTGTTTGCTCACTCGGGGCTCCTTTAACTCGGAAACAGGTTGGCTGGAGCTCATTTGTAAGGGACATAATGAGGAGCCCCAGCTCCCCGTGGCTCTGAGCGGCAGTAAACCCATTCAGAGCACTTGCGGAAGTTTATTTACCAAAAGCAACAGACACTGCGCAGAGCGGAGTCACATGCAGCCTCTACTTAAAGCTTAATTCATTAGCAGCTCCCCAAGCTGAAATGTTTCCAGGTGGGCAAATGAGCCGGAAAAGGCAAGCCTGCTTAGGGCACGGCGCGGACACTGGGTGTGAGAACACGCCACCCGCCAGGGCATGGGCAGCAGGGCCCTCCCTCCCAGCCACAGCCACACTGGGCTTCTGGGCGGACCATCTCAGCCCCACCCAAGCCAGCTCCAGCGATGTCCCAGGAGTCCTAGTGAGGTGGAACTTGCTTTACACAACACTGGAGTCCCGGCTCAGAGCAGGACCTGGAGACACCACAGGCAGAGAGACTGGGCAGCCTACCCTGTGACACTCAGAAAGGCGACCTCTAAGTTGTAAAAGGTGCCAGAGGCACGCCAAGGGGTATTGTCTTCGAGTCCAGGCTGGGGAAGCTTCTCCAAGGGGGCTGAGACCCAAGCCTGACTGGTAACAGCCTGCATGCGGTGGTGGTGGTAGGGTAATCCTTTCGGGCCTCAAAGCATCCATAGGAGTTGGCCAGCCTGAAGAGTAAGCATCAAGGCAGAGGGAATGGTCCTTGCTAAGGCTCAGTGGAACGGCAAAGCAGGCTTCTTGGAGCGAAGCGCAGCTGGCAGGAGCATGGCGTCAGGACATGTGGCTTGTGAGGCGGGCATCTCCCTTCCTAGGCGAGCTGCTGTTTGCAGTCTCTCATCTCAGCTTCCTCTTCCGGGACGAGCTGCCGGGGAGGGCGCTGGTGCTGCCTCACGATGGCAGGGGCAGACCGATGTTTCCTCTGGGTCCCTGTGATTTTCGCGGGACAGAGGCTCAGGGGCTCCCATGGCGAAGCTCAGGTGGCCACCGTACACGCAGTTCCTTGCCAGGCACAGCCAGATTTCCTTTTGGTTCTTGAGCTGGGACCTGGGCAAGTTTAGCCTGACGGTGGGGCTGGTGGCTTCACTGGGAGGAGGTAAGGCGGGTGACACACCCAGGGCCTTTGTCCAAGTGAGCAGGACCCAAGCTGTGAAGCATCCGGACAAAGTCCTCGGGAGCTGAATTCGAGCCATAGTATGTGACGTCACTGTAGGAGAATTCCAAAGTTAAACATTAACCACCAACCACTGTTGCTGTAGTGTCCCGAACTGCAACTAAAATGGGTATAAAAGGCCAACTGAGTGCTTAAATCAGCCACTGTGGAGAGAACGGCCACCACGGCCAGTTTTATGAGCTCACTGTCCGCATTCCCAGTGACACAGATGAACATCTTCCTGAAATCACAGACAATGTGGTTGACTGGATCACCACAAAGACTGGATTTGAGTCAACCTGAACCACCTCAGTTGACCATTGCCGATAAGGTTCGATGTAAAATTCCGGAAGAATGGAGAAGAATTACAAAAATCTGACTCCCAGCTTTTTCATACAGTTTGAAAAGGGGTCAAAATTTTTTTCATCTTCACGTTTTGGTAGAAACTGCCAATATGAAAGACATGGTTCTTTTTATTGGTGGTGGCGGAGGGGGATACTGGGAATCAAACTCAGGACCTCATGCTTGCCAGGCAGGTGTTCAGCCACTGAGGTGAATCCCCGGTCCCAAGAACATGGTTCTTGATTGCCATGTGAACAGATTTTCTTTTTTCTTTTCTTTTTTTCTTTTTTTTTTTTTTTTTTGTCTTTTTGAGACAGGGTCTTGCTAGGCAATTCAGGCTGTTCTTGAACTCACTTTGCAGCACAAGCTGGTCTCAAACTTGCAACAATTCTCCTGCCTCAGCCTCCCTAGTGTTGGGATTACAGGCGTGAGCCACCACACCGGGCTTGTGAATCATATTTTCCACACAGTCACGAGTTGTAGTACTGTATTGGAATGTAGAACCAGAGTTCTAGATTGTATTTCCCTTACCAAAACTTCAGATCGAGGAGCCAGTAAGATTCGAACTCAGACTTACATTCCTGCTGAGCTTGTAGAAGAGAAGCAACCAGAACCGCAGTGGATGAGGACTAATATCCAAGCATATGTAAGGGCAGCCCTCAATCTTGGAGGACGCAAGAGACTGGTGGAGGAGCACCAGGCTGAGCTTCAAAGTTCTCCAAAGAGAACTTGTCCTAAAATTTTAGTCCTGTGATTAAGACTAAAAACAGCCTGGCACGGTGGCGCATGGCTTTAATTCCAGCACTTGGGAGGCTGAGGCAGGAGGATCTTAGTGAGTTCGAGGCCAGCCTAGACTACAGAGCAAGTAGTCTCAAAAAACACCCAAAGCAAACAAACAAACAAATAAATAAATAAAGAGATAATCCTGTCTATGCAAATAGCACACTGTCCTCACCAGTATGGAAAACAAAACACCCTCTATTGTTTGGCCCTGGGATCATGGGAAAAACCAACCTTTCGAGGCTATTGCCCACACTGTTCCCTTTTAGGGCCGCCTCAGGTGGACAACTAAGGACTTTCCCTTCAAGGACCCGCCTGGACAAGGTAAGGACAGTGAAAGGGGTGGAATGCGCCAAGGCTATTCCGGGGGCAGTGGAGTCTCAAGGGTCAAGAACAAGTAACGGCCCCGAGGTGCAACCGACAGCAGTCATTGTGACCAACACCACCACCGAGTGCTGCGGTCAGGGGTAACTTGAACATCAACACCTCTTGGGGAGCGGATGTTAAATCTGAACTTCCCCACCACTGGGAGCCTGACTTAGGCAAACCGACTAAGCAGGAGATCAAAGACTTCCGCTGCGGGTCTGGTCACGTGACCC